ATTTATTTGTTTGTTTGTTTTGTTTTATACATGCACTGGGTACAGTCAGAAGCGCGGGAGGGTGAGAGAATTCACCAGAGCCAGAGCGGGGAGCAGAGCAGGCAGAAGGACCAAAGTACACTGCTGAGGGGAGCAGCGGGCGGCAGGAGAGGTCTGCACGCCATGTGGGACCCTCCTCCGGTGGCCGGGGAGCAGCCAGGGATCGAACCAGCGCCGCAGAGGTCGCCGACAGCTTCGCAACCCAGCGCTCAACCGCTGCGCCACCGGGGAGGCCCTATAACTCATATTCTAATGCAACTCATAATCATATCCCTTTTACAAGGCATATGGCAGTATATCTTATGGCTGTAATTATTCTCAAGTTTGAGGACATGATGAAAAAAAATGTTTGCAAATCATTTTCTGATACGTCTAGTAACCAAAATTCTGTTCTTACAGTTTTTACAGTTTGACAATGACGAGACCAAATGACAACTTAAAATTGGCAAAGCACCTAAACAGACAATCCTCCTAAGATGTATAAATGGCCAAAAGCACATGAAAAGATGCTCAACATTATTGGTCATAAGGGAATGAAAATCACACCACAATGAGATACCACTTCATAGCTACCCACTAGGACAGCTATCATCAAAAAGACAGCTAATAGCAAATACTGGTAAAGATGAGTAGAAACTGGAATCTTGGACCTCCCTGGTGGCGCAAGGGATAAAGTTTCAGCACTGTGATGCTTTGTGCAGCCAGGGAGGTGATCCACATGGCTCAGCAGACCTCTCCTGCCTCGCCCACTGCTCCCCTCAGCAGTGTATTTCAGTAGATCTGCCTGTTTTGTTCCCCACTTTGTTTCTGGTGAATCCTCTCACACCACCCCCCACCCGCCCACCTCTGGCCTACACCCCAGTTCCTCTATACAAAAATAAATCTTTAAAAAAAAAAAAGAAAAGAAAGAAACTGGAATCTTCATGCACTGCTGTTGGAAATGTAAAATACTGAAGGCACTTTGGAAAAGTTGGGTAGTTCCTCAAAAGGATAAAACAGTTCCCAAAAATGTTACTCCTGTCTACATGCTATTTAATACAGGTGAAAACAAATATCCAAACAGATGCTGCTGCTTATGTTCACAACAGCATTATTCATAAGAGGTAAAAAGCAGAAACCACCCAAATGTCCAGTCAACTGATAAATGGATGAACAAAACAAGGTATGCCATAAATGCATTAACAGTGGCTCGGAAAAAGCAATACAGTGCTGGTACATGCTACAACATGGATGAATCTTGAAAATATGCTAAGAAATATTTTATGATTATATGATTACATTTATGTCAAATATTATATGATTACATTTATGTCAAATGTGCAGAAATGGCAATCCACAGAAACAAAAAGGTGGCCAAGAGCTGGGTTATAGGAGAAATGCTAAATGACTGTTCATGGGGTAATTATAAAGTACTATGGAATTAGACAATATCTGCACAATCTTGTAAATAAACTAAAAATCACTTAACTGCGTATTTCAAAAAGGGTGAATTTTGTGGTGAATTTCAAAAAGGGTGAATTATTCCAAGGCAATGTGCACGTATATGGAATAGTAAAAAGACTTATTTTAAATATTTGCAATAGAGAAGATATTTTGGAGAGTAGTAATGCCCATTTTTACCTTGAAACTACAATCAATAACACTTTATTTATTCATATCTACCCAAAATCCAAATTTCATTCAGCAGATATGGAAACTAATAAAGGAACTAAGAATTGGAAAGAAGGTACATCAAACTAATTAAGCCTCTTTGCTGAGGTTTCAAAGAAGTCTGCATAGCAAGAAAGGAAACCAATGCCATTATTTCACATATACTTTTAATTGCCAAAGAATATACTTTTTAACTGTTCCCAAACATCAAATCCAATCTCTAAGGATGAAAATTTGTCAGTACTAAGGATATTCAAAGAATCAATCTGCCACTGATATTTCAATGAATTAAGGTTCAGCCTTCTAATGAGTTTACTTAAGAACACCACCATTGTGGATGACAATATTGTTTCTGACAAGGTGATTTAAAAAGCAATCTGTGTCTTTACCATAGAGTTCTACAAGGTAAATGCATTACAAACCCCAAGTTTCCTAACAAAGAAACTCTAGCTTATTTAGAGTCTCTATGAGCCTGCCTCGGAAAATTCTAATACCTACCTTTGCAAACCTATCTTCTGTAAGTTGCCCGGAAGGTTCAAGGACTGCAATTTAAATAGACAATTTGTGGCCTCTGGTGGCGCAGCGGATTGAGCGCAGCGCTATGAAGCTGTCTGCAGCCTCTGCAGCGCAGGTTCGATTCCTGGCCAGTCAGGGAGATACCTACATGGCGCAGCAGACCTCTCCTGCCTTGCCTGCTGCTACCCTTAGCAGTGTCTTCGGCCTGTCTGCCTTTCTGTTCCCCACTCTGTCTCTGGTGAATCCTCTCACCCTCCCACGCCTCTGGCCTGTACCACAGTTCTTGTATAAATAAAAAATAAATCTTAAAAAAAAATAGACATCTCATTGTCCTTTTCCACTTTTGTTAAATACAAGAATGCTTTTACCTTATTTGTCAAAAAGAAGCAAAAATTCACCATCTATTTTTTCCCACCACCTTCTTCATGGTCTTTCTTATCTCAAGAGCTTTCTTTCACTTCTAAACATTCCTAGCACCAGTCTGCACTATTCCCTGGTACATTTAAACTTGCACAATAATTGAATGTACTATTTATTCTCTAAGGAAGAAAAGTTTCTGAAGGATAGCTCCCCCAATATCTTTGTTTGCCGAGAGTGCTTGATACAAGGCAGATTGTTAGTAAATATTTAAATGAATTAAGTACTTAACTAACTGCCCTTTGTTCCTAAAACAGTACTAATACAAGTAGGTAAGTGATTAGGTGGGTACTCAGAAATGGCAAGTCCCCAGAGACACTGAATGCCTCATTCAATCTCTGCAAGAAATTATAGGCCATCTTGTGTAGAGCCTTAAGGTTAAAAATGGCATTATTCAGATGCTTTCTAGAACTGCTCCAGCTGAAAGCACACTGAGGGAATGAAGGCAGTTTGAAATAGTTCTCTGTGAGTCAAAAAGACTCATACTGCTATGCTTTTCAGCCAAGCTGCTTTTCAGCCAAGCTAGAGCTAAACTGAAACCACACAACTTCTGCCTAAATGGGAAAGCCCTTTTATGAATACTGCAAGGATGAGGAGTAGTCAGGCAATAGGTTACATCACACCAGGCAGCAGAGAGAACTTCTATTTTCCTGGAATCTGAACTGATTATCCCAGTCCCAAAAGACACCACAATAATCACCTGGCTACCAAATATCCATAGTGATGATAATCACTGTCTTAACCTGCTACTAACTCCAAATCAACTAAAAACTAATAATGGAAGCGTGACACCTCTACTCTTACTACCACCACTCCCTCCCAAAAAAAAAAAAAGGGTACATGGGAGAAAAAGATTTTGGAAATGAGTGAGAATTCATTTTTAAATACAAAGACTGCTTCAAATTAAGTATCATTTACAAACCAAATGACCTGAAATATTAATCAGAAAGACAGAATCAAATAGAAGGTTAACTGTTCAGAACCAACCCCATTAAAATAAAAAAAAGTAGTCATTACAACCACTAGTAACAAGTAACGCTTGCCTTTTAGATTGTATAAAGATCACTGTCAGTTCTTTTAAACTCAGAAAGTTAACACTACAATTGATTTATTTAGAACTCACCTTAAAGAACAAAATTACATATAATAAAAGAAAAAACATGAGAACCAACTGATTTTAGTTGGGAGGCTATCAACAATATATTACTGTTCAGATTAAAATACCACTCTGCACTCTGGACTCTAAATAATTTGATATCTCCTGAACTTTACTACCTTCAAGGTGGAAATTTGAAGTTAAAAGTATGCCGTAAGATTAAAATTCTCCTTCAAGAAAATGAAATCTAAAAATATTCAACCCAGATATTTACACAAGAATTTTGTTAGTCATTAAAAAACCCTTGTCACACAGCAATAACTAACCACTAACACTAGCAATGACAGAGGCCTGAGGCAGAAGGCAAGGATTCAAAGCAAACAGAATTAGAATAAGATAAACAACTCATTAAAACCATCAAAACTAAAAGCTACAGAAACTTTATGAAATCAGCGGGACTACAGTCAACTTCAGAATCTATTAAAAATTAAAAAACGCTATTTAAAAAAAGTCACTAAAAGTGAAACAAATAAAATTAACAATTCTTCAAAATAATCTGAAGATTTTATATTAACTCATAATCTGAAAACTCATTAATTTCATGCTTCCCAGAATCCAATCGTCTGCTATAATCATGCGATGGTCCAAAATACAAGATAATTCAAAAAGCGCTCAAACCGATAGAAGACTTTAGCATGGAACACTTCAGGATAGATGTGAAGGGATAAAAGGGAAGAGTAAATGATAAACCAGAGCTGGACTTGTATTGACTGGAGGGAAATTTTAAAACAAATCCACATGACAAATTACACCAAAAACCTCATTCATGTCTTTACTATTTAAACAAGCATACCTTTTAAAATGTACTTTTAACCTTTGGACAACCAAAGTGTTACCAAACAGCTTAAAGCATTGTTGCCTATACGAATTTTGATGTTAGTCTAAATCCTTAACAAAATTCACAGACATTTTCACAATGAAACACTTCAGAAACGGAAAGGTGATTTATATTCTCTAAGGAAAGGATACCTTATTTTTCACTTGTTTTAAAGTTTCAGTTTTGCTTTTTAATCTATTATAGGATGCATTCCTAGTGGGACATTGTAAAGGGCATACCCTCCTGTCAAGCCAGAAAGCTCAAACACAAAGACATTGAGCTAAGCAAGTGCTGTAATTCTTCCAAACTGAGCCTCTCCACACCCCCTCCACCCTTCCCCCCAACAGATATGTCTATTAAATCAGTGTCTGTTCTCCCCCTCGCACAACAAAGAGAACTTCTCACCGCATGAAATTGCCGCTGAATGGACACCAGAAAGCAGGATTTGCATAATTCCTTGCAACGAAACGCTGTCGGGAAGGAGGGGATGAGGGGGCCCAAGCGAACGGACAGAATCTCCCAGATTCTGCAGGGAAAGATCTGGCTCCCGAGAATACTGCCATCGGGGAGCTGGAGGGGCTAAAAATTCTGGGGCTCCCGGAAGACTGGGCGTGGGGGCGCGAGGACCCCGGGCGGGCGAGCCCCCGCGCAGCAGCAGCACCGCGGCGGGCGGGCGGGTAACAATGCTGGAGGACAGGACAGTCGGGCACGGGGATGGGCCGGGGCTGGGGGGCGGCGGGCGGAGCGGAGCCCCCACACGGGCCACTTACTTTTTGGAGGGGGTTAAATATATGAGTTAAGCCCTTATGGTCCCGCCGGCCGCCGCACAGAGGGAAACGGGACCTTGGGAGAGAAAAACAGACAAAACACACAGTGTGAGAGGCGCAGCTCGCCGCCCGCCCCTCCCGGGGCGCCCCCGGCCTCACGCCCTCCGGCCCGCGGGGGACAAGGCCACCCGGGCGGCCCGCGGCTCCCAGCGAGGGGGCGGCTCCGGCCCCCCCTCAGGCGGGCACAAGAGGGACCCCCGCTCCGGCTCCTCAGACGGACCCGGTCCCACCCCGCTCCTCCCCGCCGCGCACACACGAGCACAAATACACACACACCGACCCGAGCGTCGAGGACGAACTCCCCGGCCGCCGCCGCCCGCAGAGGAAGTGCAGACGCTGCCCCCCGCGGCCATGACACCCCACTTGGCTTGGTCAGGCGGACCCGGGGCCTGTGACAGCTCCGGCTCCCTCCGCCCCCATCTCCACCTCACGCCGCGCACACGCCCGAGCGCGGGGCGCCCGCCCGCCCGCCGCGCGTGCTCGTGGGGACGGGGACGCGCGCCGTTGCCGCGCGTGGGGGAGGGGCGGGAGGGGAAGGCGACGGCGAAGAGTGGCGGGGGGGGGGCCGAGCGGCAGCCCTGTAGGCCTCCACCCAGGCGCTGAGCCCGGCAGGTCCCGCGGCGGCGCCCCCGGTCAAGTGGCAGCGCCGCGGGGCCAGTCTCCACAATAAGCCGGCGGCGGCGCCGGGCCGCCGGGCGGGGGGAGGGGGCTTAGGGGGAGGGGCACGCGCTCCCGCCCGAGAGCCCGCCCCGGGGAGGGCGCGCGGAGGGGAGGGGCCGGCGCGCGCGCTCAGGCCCGGGGAGGGGAGAGCCCGCCCGGAGGTCGCGCGCGCCCGCACTCCGGGGGGTGGGGGAGGGGGACGGCCGAGCCAAAGAGGGCGGGCGGGCGGGCCGGAGCGGCGATCGCCTCTGCCCGGGCTCCCGCCTCGTCCGGGCCGGCCGGCGGCCGGGTGACCCGAGGGCGGGCGGCGGCGGGGGGAGGGCCTCACCTACACAGTGAATAAGCTTGTGGCGCCACGAGTCCAGTTCTTGCCGAAAGCCGCGTCTCTCATCGGAGCATTGCTGCCGCCTACACACCCTCGCCATTTTCTGCCGCCCGCCCGGCCCTGCCTCCGCCGCGGCCTCGCGCACGCCCAGCCGCGTCGCCCGGGGCCGCGCACGTACCCGGGGCCTGGGCGTCGCGGCTCCCGCCGGGGGCGGCGCGGGGGCAGGGCCGGCCTCACCTCGCGGCGGCCCCGGAGGCGACCTGGGCGCGCTCCCGCCCCGCGCCGCGCCCGGTGGGGCCCGCGGGACGGCGGTTCCCGTGGGTCGCGGCCGCGGCCGCCGGCCCTGGCCGCCCTGGAAGGCGCCTTCCCGCCGCCGGAGCTCGGCCCCGCCGGCCCCGCGCCGCCGCCTCTCTGTCCCCCAAGGCCACGACTGTCCCCTCCTCTACCTTCCCCGGGCTTTTTGTTTCTTAAACCAACCCCATTTATCACTTCCAACCTGCCTATGGCCGGACACCAACTGTTGCAAGTTCCTCGTTCACGGCTTTTCTGAACTTGCTGGAAACTGCTCCTCCCGGGCGCCTGCTACGAAGTGGAATTAAGAATAAATGCCCGGATGCCCAGGGAAGCGCTGAACCCTCAAAGTTTTCACGAGGGGAAAGAGTACGTTTAAAGTCTCTCGAAGACTTAGCCAGTTTTCGCAAACACCGTGAACAGTGAAATCTAGCATTTTAAATTAAATCAACAAAAAACTAGGTTGGGGGATCAAAGGCGAAATTCTCGAGTTGGTAGAGTCAGAACCCCTCCTGGGTTGTGTGGAAAGGGACTTCAGAAAATTGTGCAAACGTGAGCATGGTGTGTCAAGAGAAGGGTTAATTGACGACCTTAGATCCTACTGTGGAAAAATATCTTCATTCCGTGCTTCCGAAAAGGACATGAGAGAACGGTTTTCTAAGACGACAGGAATTCTCAGGTATCTGCTGGAATAATTAAATCGCCCTCTCTGGAACACGACCTGTCCCATTTAAACAGAATGATGTTGATAATACTTGACTGTTCTCTGGGAGAAGAAGAAAAAAAATATAGAAACTGATGAACGGAAAGGAGAAAGGGGCGGGGATGCAAAGCCAAAAGGAAAAAAGCAAAAGCAAGCAGAACCTCTCTGCTTGCTAGAGAGGATGCTGCCGGATTCACGAATCATTGACAAAAGCCAATTAGATTTTCGAAAAGAAAAACCGGAAAATAGATCCCTCTTTGTCAAAAGACCCAATATCCTAGAATTCTGTCCTCTTTAAGATTTAGAGATTAAATCTTTGGGGGTTAAGATCAAAGACCATGCATTCCTGCTTTTAGGTATTTAAAATTGAAGACTTAGTTTTAGTTACTGTAATCGGTAGAGACAAAATGGTTAGATACTTGACATCAAGGACCCCATTGTTGTATTGAAATATGCCTTTTCAAAGACAGTGGTCTTGGTTCTCTGAGCCAGGCACTTGTAGAATGACGTGTCTATCCATAAAGAGAAGAGCTGGGTGAATCTCTTGGGTAGGACTGGTTTTAAGATGTATGACTAGAAGGGCACCTTCTGCCCCCACCCCACCCCACCCCCAGTCTTAAAACCATTAATTTTTCCTCAATTCTCAAAAATCCACAATCTTTCATTGACTTAAGAGTACTAGCAAGTGAAGAAGCTATTAGATCGGAAGTACTGAATCTCTTTGTATGTAAAACTACCCTGAGTGATAAAGGAAGAGGACAGATAGATAAATAATTGCTAAGGGACAGCCATCCCGCACGTGATGGCACATCTTGTCTCTCCAACCTGAAATTTCCTTTTCTCACCGCTAGGTGGCAGGTTTGAGTCTTTTTAGCTTTTAACCAACTTTCTAGTTTTTAGAGGAAGTGTTTCATAGTTTCAAATAAATGAACAACATGTAACTCTAAAATGAGTGAATAATGTATTTTCCAGTTACCCCATATAATTTGTTTAAAAATAATCAAATCAGGGGTAATAGGTTCTCTACATAATCTCTTAAAGTCTCAGTCATACAGGATTCAGAAGGATCCTGTGGACTTAAGAGATCATCTAATAGAAGGAACCGAGTCTCTAATTCGAGGTATAGAATTAAGAACCCAGACCAGTAAAGTGATTATGACCAAAATTACATAGCTTCTAGGTAGAGGGAAGGCAACAAAAAACAGAAGACGACTTCCCCAACTTCAGTGCTGTTTCCACGATTCCACTTTGAATTCCAATTGTGTTTTAAGTTAAGAACCAAGACAAGTTAGCCTCTCTGAAAGGCCTATTTAGAAAGAATGGAGAGGGGACAATAACAACTATCATCTATTTTTAGCATTGCAGCTTATTTCATCCCATCTAAATCACAATGGCCATAAAGTAGGTATTATTTTTACCACATTTTCCAGACTAGAGATTTAAGACTCATGAGAGTGAAAGTGAAATGCCTTTGTGTGATGTCTCAGAGCTAAAGTGTGATGTCTTTTTTTTTTTTTTAATAGAGGCATGTTATTTATTTATTTATTTGTTTGTTTCATACATGCACTGGGTACAGTCAGAAGCGCGGGAGGGTGAGAGAATTCACCAGAGCCAGAGCAGGGAGCACAGCAGGCAGAAGGACTGAAGTACACTGCTGAGGGGAGCAGCGGGCGGCAGGAGAGGTCTGCGCGCCATGTGGGACCCTCCTCCGGTGGCCGGGGAGCACCCGGGGATCGAACCGGCGTTTCGGAGGCTGAGGGCAGCTTCGCAGCCCGGCGCTCAACCACTACGCCACCAGGGGAGGCCCTAAAGTGTGATGTCTTAAATGGCAGAACCAGAATTCAAACTAGCATCTTTCTGACTCCAACACACTCTAAATTGTCCTACAGGTAGAAGCAGGACTTTGCATGCAGAAGATTCATTTAACTCCATGTGAAAGATAATGTGTTCCACTGCGCAGCCGAGTAGTTTGACAAACACTTGAGTTCCTGTCATATATCAAACAGTATCCTAGGCACTACAAATACATAGATACCTAAGACACAATTTCTCACTTGAAACCTACCCTGGAATAGGGACTTTGCAGCAAGCTTTTCCCCATTCTGGGAAGGGTGAGCCAATATAACACAGTGGTTAAGAGAAGACAGATTCCATTTGTTTGGAATCCTGGTTCCATCCCTCAGTAGCTGTGTGGCTTAGCAAATTAATTTTATTTTTTGGTCATCAGTTTTCTCGTGTGGAGAGGAGGATAATAGTCAATTGTGAAAAGAAGAAACAACAGGCCCCATGTGGAGTCATTTGTGTCAAGCCCAAATCACCAAACCAAGATTTAATACCTAACTTAATTGCAGTTTCAACCCCTCCCAGGAATGTAATCCTGACCAGTCCAGCTCAACAATAGCAGGTGGTCTGTTTGGTCCACCTCCCTCTTTCCCCCGAGGGAAGGTGGATTTGTCTGAAACAATTTTTTTACTGGAACTATTCTTAAAATGGCTTTTCTTGCTTAGTAGAAGAATTCCCAAACTCCTCTCTTCTTATTCAGACTGCCTGCATGCCACCGGCCTAGGAAACTTTACATTGTGTATGTGTATTTTTTTCAAATTGTTGAAGAATTTTTTTCTTCAAAGTCTTACTGAGTTATATCAACAAATTACAAAACTAACTCCTTTAAAGTGCACACTTCATTGGGTTTTAGTATGCTCAGAAAGTTTGCACCATCACTTTTAGAATATTTGTGTCAACCCCACAGAAAGACGCCCCCATCACCATTAGCAGTCACTACCTATTGCCCGCCCATTCCTTATCACTCCTCCCAACCTCTGGCAGCAA